ATGAAGCCCTTTGGGAAATAAGCTTCACATTTAAGGCTGCTTTACTCCTGGGAGCAAATGCTAGCAGCACAGGCCAACCTAAAGCAGATAGGCTCTGTCTCAAAAAAAAAAAAAAAAAAAAAAAGAAGGTAATCTATCCCAAGTGTAAAAGTTGAGTAGATGAAGATGGTATTTGGGAAAGTGGAAGTAACAGCTGATGTGAACAAGTACGGTTTTAGTGGAAAGTTGAAGATCAATGTCTAAGTAAATGAGTCTTTTTTTAAAGATGGGGAATGTGGAATGCAGACACCTCTTTGGAGACGTTTTTGTTGGTAGGCAAGTGGAGAAAAGAGAGGAGGGCAAAGATGAAACGATGTGTCAGTAAAATTTTTATGTAAACTATAAATGCTCTGTTAGGCTTACTTTGTTATTTGCTTAGGAGACTGGGAAACTCCTAGGAATTTCAAACTAGCTCTGTGTGAAGAATCTCTAAGATGCTGCTACGAGTCCTCAGTTCTTACCGGACCAGAAGGCGCAAAGCCCGCCAACCAATGAAAAGCCCAGAAATGTAGAGCCAGCTTGAGGAGGCACAGCTGAGGGCCAAGGGAGAGAGGGAAAAAAAAAAGGCTTGACTGAATTAATATTGTCCTTCCAAGGATGCCGTAGGACAAATCTCGCAGCTGCTACTTTATTTTCGGGGCGGAGTCGGCAGGAAATTTAAACGACGGTAGCGGCCGCAGCTGCCTAGAGAATGATACTGTCGTTGCACGGGGATAACTAGGACTCGGAAATCCGAGAGAATTTATGGAGCTCAGAAATGTAATACGGAGGCCTTGAGGAAGGAATACGGAGGCCGAGAAGGAGCTTGGAATATGACGAGTGAGCCGGGAAAGGGTACGGATGCCTGGAAGGGGAGAGAGGGGTAATAAGGAAAGCGGAAGGGGTCCGAGGAGATTTAGGGTTACGGAGTGGGCGTTAGGTGCGGAACCTGAGGGTATAAGGGACCAGAAAGGGGTCACAGAAGTTGTGATTTAGCGGGTCACAGGAGTTGAGGGGTCTGTCTTAAGGAGACTGAGGGACTCAGGGGACAAGAGCCTGAAAGGAGGTACGGAAATGAGATATCTAAAGGAAAACCAAGAGGTCTTGGAAGAGGGGGCGGAGGGACTGAGGGCCAAGAGCCTTGGAGGAGGCGCGGGAGTCGACTCGGGATACAGGTCAGGGTGGAATTGAGGCTCCCTGTTTTTTGGGAGCCGCGTTGGGGGCTTAGGAGACTGGGCAGGCGGTGGGACGAGGGGGCGCATGAGGTCTAAGGTTGCTGAAGGTAGTTGAGCTGCTGGTTTTGTTCTTCTTTTCTCAGCAGACAATTACCTTGAACTGGAGGATTCCATGGCTGAGAGTAGGCTGCGGGCTCCGGACGTAGGTGGGTAATGGGTCAGAACTAGGGATGTGAGGGCAAACTTGCTACTCTTGTCCCAGGGTCTGTTAGAAGGTCAAGACTGAAAAAAAAAACAAAAACCAACTTTGTCGTCCTCGGTAGAGTGCCGTGGCATCATAACTGACAGCTACCTCAAACTCTTGGGTTTAAGCGATTCTTTTGCCTCAGCCTCCCAGTAGCTGAGACCGCAGGCGCCCGCCACAACGCCCGGCCAAGGACTGAAAAATTTTATCGCTATTAAGAGTTTTGTAATCTCTTAGTGGTTTTGTGTGTGTGTGTGTGCGCGCGCGTGTGTGGACGGGGTGTCATAAATTACAGGAATTCATAGTATGGCTCAGCGCCTGCAGCTCAGTGGCTAAGGTTCCAGCCACATACACCAGACCTAGTGGGTTCAATCCAGCCCGGTCCTGCCAAACAGCAATGACAACTACAACAACAAAATAGCCGGGCATTGTGGTAGGTGCCTGTAGTCCTAGCTACTTGGGAGGCTGAGGTGATTCTCTTTTTTTTT